CCCCTCCTGGTGTCACACTCTTGTGTGAGCATCTCCCCTTGAATGGGGACAGGACCCGTAACTTGCCTCTAACCAACAGAATAGGGCAAAGGTGACGAGATGTATGTGATTATGTTATGGAAGATGCTAGGGTCTTCTTTCTCTTGCTGCCTTGATGAAACAAAAGGCCATGTTGGGGACCTATGTGACAAGGAACAGAGACTGGCCTCCAGCTGACAGCCAGCAAGAAAATAAGGCCTCAAGCCAGCTGCCTGCAAGGAATTGAACGATGCCAACAACCACATGAGTTGGGAAAGGGATCCTTCCCCAGCTGAACCTCAGATGAGGCTGCGGCTCCCCCCTGACTGGAGCCGTGCAGACCCAGCTAAGCCCTGTCCACACTCCTGACCCACAAAAACTGTGAAATAATAAACACGTGATACTTTAAGACACTAAATTTGTGATAATACTGTCACACAGCAATAGAAAACTAACGCAGGTCAAGCCAGCGGGCAGGAAGGGCTTATTCAATAAACGACTGGAACAAGTGGGTATCCACCCAGAAAAAAAGTAAAGTTGGATCCCTGACACACACAGAACAACAAAATAAATTCCAGACAGATGAAAGACTCAAATATGAAAAATAAGAGGAGAAAACACAAGTTTTTTAGTATGTAATTTTGGAGCAAAGAAGGCCTACGTGTCACGCAAAAATCTAGAAGAATTTTTTCATCTAGAAAGAAACGATTAATAAATTTGACTAAAGTAAGAAAATATACCTGCAACTTGTATCACAAAGGGCTGATTTCCTTAATACGTAAGTAGCTCCTACAAATCAATAAGAAAAGATCATTTTGAAAAGATGCTCACTCCTTCTAAGAGCAATACAGTGAGACACTGACATCAGGCATGACTATCAAAATAGCCAATGCACTTCACTCTTCAAGTCAACAATTCCACTGCTATGGATATTTAAAATAACCTATGTAGAAGAGGCTATTTAGCTAACACTGTCTGTCATGGCGAATTGTAAACCGTCCTATCTACCACTAGGAGGTTGGTTAAATAATTTATGGTGCATGATCCACATAACAGAACACCATGAACACCATGAACCAGAAAAATTAATCAGGCAGCTCTTTCTGTTGAAGGACAGAGAGATCTCTGAAATATATTTAGTAAATAAACAACAACAATAACCAAAAAAACAGGTGCCTGCAGGGAGGAGACGAGGGGTGGCTGGGGACCGGACACCAGGGAGAATTTTCATTGTGTGGTCTTTTGTGCCTTATGAATGTTATACCACATGGTTGTGTTTCCTTTTCACAACACTGAAATTCAAATCAATAAATACATGCAAGTTGTAGAACAGCGTGTACAAAACAAAGAAACTAAATTTAGACTATATACACATAAGATATATATACAATTACATATATCCACAGATGTATAGATATCTATATATCCATATTATGATATCATACACCACGTTAAACACATTTATGCTAAACATAGACAGCTACCCCTGGAAGAACACACAGAATCTGAGGACTGGTTCCCTCTGGCTGGAGGACTAGTATAAACTGGTAACTTTTCCAGGTAACGAGGCAGTGGGGTGAGAGAGGGAACTATTTCTCACTGTATTTTCTTCAATTTTTGCACCATTATATATATTACCAATTTAAACATAAACCACTAAAGAAACTGAAGCCATTTTGTTTCCTCTGGGCTTCTGTTCTTCCTCTTTTAGGAGCCTGATGGCGCTCCCCACGTCTCCAGGCTAAGGATTCCCGATCTGTCTCCACCTGCCGCACGGTCTGGAAGCACGTCCCCCGGTCTCAGCACGGCGTCTGGCCGGCCCCTTCTTAACCTCGGCGCCTTCCTGAAGAGCTGGGGTTCCTGAGAGTTCTGTGTTCAGCAAAGTTCATCTCTTTTCCTCTAAGATGCTACCTCCTTGGGGCCCATGACTCAATTGCCCCCTTTGGCGCTTTCCACACCTCCATCCCTGCCCAGACCTCTTCTGAGCTCCAGACACGAAATCCAGCTGCCTAGAGGACGCCTCGGCACCGATGACTCAGCCTCCGTAACCCCGAGGGGCTCCTCTGGTGCTCCCTGCATCCGAGTGAATGGAGCCACCATCCACGCAGGCAGAAAGCCCGGGTCTTCCTAGATCCCTTCTCCCACTCCTGCCCCCATCCCAATAACTGATCACAAGCCCCTGTGGATTCTGCCTCTAGCCTGTTCTGTGACCTGTCCACTTCTTTCCACCTCCAGGGCCACCACCCAGTCCACCCAGTCCTTCCTCTCTCCGCACAAGCCTCCCAGCTGTTCTGGATGCCTGCCCACAATATCACAGTATCACGCCCAGCCGCGCCCCGCCACTGCTGCTACGGTCATCTTCGAAATGTCAGCTTAGTCTGCTCGGGCTCCATAACAAAATGCCACAGACATCTGAAACAACAGAAACGTTTACAATGGGCTTAAACAACAGAAATTTTTCTCTCACGGTTCTGGAGGCCAAGATCAAGGTGTGGGCAGAGTGGGTTTCCTCTGAGGCCTCTCTCCTCGCTTGCAGGCGGCAGCCTTCTCGCTGTGTCCTCACGTGGCCTTCCCTCTGTGCACGGGCATCTCTGCTGTCTCCCTCTGCGTCCTCATCGCCTCTCCTTGGAAGGACCCCCCAGCCAGGCTGGAGTAGGGCCGCCCTAACAGCCTCATTCCAACTCACTCACTTCTTTAAAGGCCCTGTCTCTGAATATAGTCACATTCGGAGTCCTGGCCTTAGGGTTTCCATATGTGAAGCCAGGGGCCACAGTTCAGCCCGTAACAGCCCCCAACAGGTCACGCCACTCCCCTCAGTAAAAGCCTTCACTGGTGTCTCAATGCCCTTGGAATAATGCCTTCCCAGCCCATGACCCCTGACTCCTCTGCTCCCTAGCCGCTGAGAATGGGGCGGGGGAGGGGTGGATGGCAGTATGAACATGATGGAAATAGACAGGATTCGAGGTCAGGAGGAATGACACCCTTCTGCTCTCTCTCTTCCTTTTTCCAACTACAGACAGACATGGGGCGAGCCGTCGGACGTCTGTGTAGAAGGACGCTGGTCCAGGATTACCTATGAGCTACCTGGAACAGAGATGTCACGTCCTCTCCACGTCACATCACGCCATCTCCACCCCACACTGAGATCCCCTGGACAGAGAGTTCCCGTGTTGCCTCAGCAAACGTAAGTGTTCCCCTCAGTCACTCTCAGGGGAACTTCTGGCTGAACCCAGGACCTAAAACAGATCCAAACTGCCACTGGGGACCCTCCCTCTGAGGCCTAACTGCTCCAAGGCATCCCAGATGAGCAGCAGCGGAAAGGCGGCACCTTGAGGCACGGACATGGCGGCACCAACACGCAGTCCCCTCATTTGTCTGTCTCCACACGGGAGCCCACTGACCTGGGGCAGATGCTTAACCTTTCCGAGCCTTGGTTTGCTCCTCTGCAAAACAGGGTAGCGGGATTCCTTCTAGGCAGTTCCTACTGTACTGCTTAAATCACCACAGCCTGGTAGCTTAAAACCGCAGAATCGATTCTCTGGCAGTTCTGGAGGCGAGAAGGTGGAGATCAAGGCGTCGGCAGGGCCGCGCTCGCTCTGAAGGCTCCAGGGAAGGATGCTTCCTGCCTCTGGCCCAGCTCCTGGGGGTGCTGGTGACCCGTGCGCCGCTCGGCTCGCATCTCCATCACTCCAAGTCCTGCCCCTGTCTTCACGTGTCCACCCTGCTGTGTGTGTCTGTGTCCTTTCCTCTTACGGACATCAGTCACTAGAATGAGAGCCCACCCTAATCCAGTAGGATGTCATCGTAACCCATGACATTTGCAAAGACCCCATTTCCAAACAAGGTCCCACTGATAAGTACCGGGGGTGAGCATTCAACGTGTCTTTTTGGGGGACACAATTCAACCTACCTAGGAGATTGTGAGGGGACTAAAGAGACCACCACGCACCACCAGGGGCACACAGTGAGTGCCAAGAAGTGGGAGATCACGTCTATCAGTCACACAAGGGAGTAATTTTCTCCCACACGGGAGGCTCCTTCCCAGAACATCAGGCCTGGCTTCTTCACTCCTCGTAAAAACAAAAACCGCAAGCAAGAAACCCAAAGCCAACGAGCCGGCATCCTCAGGGCTGATGTGTTGTTAAGGCTTTTAAAACAAACTAACCAGAGCTTGGTACCAAGTCACTGGTGCAAACATTCTATCAGTGCGTCTCCCTGAGAAAACCCGCACCCACACGTGGCCCCCACGCCTCCTTCTGGGAGCAGCTGCCAACAAGGAGCCCCACGGCTGCTCTCAAAGCAGAAAGGGTTTACTCAAGGTGCGTAACTCCGGTTCCAACATCCCGCTGCCTTCCAGCTGAGCCTCAACTTACAGAAAGGAAGCCCTGGAAGCCAGCAAGCCAGATGGAGAGATAAAGAAGCTCCCACCTGCGGCTGAACCCTGAGCAGCCTCGCACCGGCCTCCCCAGGAGAGGAGGCGGGATGGTGCAGCCAAGGCAGCGAGGAGGCATCACGGCCCAGCCTCTCCCCACTCCCCCTTCCCCTCGGTGGAAACCAAAGCGCCCATCAGGACGATCAAAGCTGCTGCCCATGGCTTGAGACTGACTGTGACTGAGCTCATTAAGCCATAAGCTCCTGCCGGTGGGTTTTCTCCACGGATAATGTGTGAATTAGGAAGTAAGTGGCCTGGGAGAACCTGGGACCCATTAACCAACTAGCCAACAGAGCTTCCATTAAGAGAAAAATCGCTGAAAATCTGAAAACCGTCCTTGGGGAGCCGTTCAAAGATTCCACCGCGAGTTTTCCGGGAAACCCTCTGGGGGTTCACGCCAACGCGGGGAAGAAGGCTCCACAGACATGAGGCGAGAAGAGCCTGGAGCGAGAAGGCAGGTGCCAGGGTTCGAATCTGGCTGCTCTGGAAGAGCAGGGTCTCCCTCCCGAGGTCCCCAGCCTCAGTTTCCCGGGAGGGAGAAACAAGCGCCCCAGGTGCCACCCTCGTGTAAGGCGCACGGATTCCACGACCGAGCCCTGAGTATGGGACAGCAAGCTGGGCCGGGGACTGGGGCCACGGATGCACCTAGGAAAGGACTGCTGGCAACATGGAAATGCATATACCGTACAGCTCCACCTGCCAGCGGCCAAGTGAGGAGGCTGCACTGTAGGAATACAACCAACTGAAACTGTCACCGAGCCACAGGGCACCAAGTCCCAGAGGGAAACACAGAGGGCCTCAATGGGTCACGTCGGGTACCCCAAATAAATAAGTCATTGAAAAGTCTGAACAGCACGCCAATGCCATCCTGGAGTCAGAAGGCAGAACAGAGAAATAAAAGAACGGGTCAGACTCCATCTGACCCCAACTCTGGGGCTGGGTTGCACGGCGACTTAAGTCCATCAAACCCCTGCAGCCTCAGTTTCCTCATCTATAAAATGGGGAGAACAGTGCCTCTGCCCCAAAGCCCTTATGAGGATTAAGCGAGAGGTCTCCCATGATGCACTCCTGACAGTGCTCAATAAATGCTGGATCCGCCACTCGGTTTCTCTTCCCTCCCTCCTCTCTGGCGTTTCCCACTGATTCCTGTGCTCCCAAGAGCCCTCCCCAGCCCCTCTCGACACAGTCAGGGTTCCCTGCCCTAGAAAACCCTTCCCGAACCCTAAATGCCCACATACGTGAACCCCGACTGCACCCTCCCACTGCCCCAGCCTCTGCCCTCCCTCCCGGCCGCAGTCACGCCTGGGCCGGGACAGCCTCTCCCGGCGGTTCCCAGACGTGGACGGCAAGAACCGCTCAGGCCACTGCAGAACGTTCGCTGGTCAGTGAGGAAATCGGCCCCTGAAGGGAGGCCTTCTGCGAGGGATTCTGAGAACCAAACCCACTCCACTTACAGGACCGTCCTTTGTCCCAGTGTCACATTAAAACGCGATTTCTTTTCTAAAATGGTGGTGATGTACAAAAAGGTGGGTTTTTTTTTCATTGTCCTCATTTGATCAAATAAAAGCAGGTGACCCAACCCTGGAGCCCGGCCTCTCTTGGCTTGTTTATTTTTCATTATTTTTCTGGTCCATAAATCCAAGTCTGGGAATTGCCCAACTACGCGAGTTGGCGACGCACGGCCGCCTCCACTTCCTCCCAGCTCGACTTCTTAACCCTCATGTACAAAGCCAACTTCTGCTCTCACCACTCAAGTGAAACTGTTCTCTCCAGGTCTCCAGATCCAGGCCCCGTCCCTCCAGCCGGCCCCTGACAGCCAGGACAGGCCCTGCTGCACTCAGACACACCAGGGCCTCCGCCCGAGGGCCAACCCCATCTTTCTAAGCAGCTCTGATCAAGGTGACAGCTTCCCACAGACGAGCCCACGCTCCCTCCTCATCCAGGGTCCTCGTCACCCCACCCACCGATGCTCGGGCCGGGGAGCTGGAAAGGCGGGGAGTCCACAGCCTAGCTCCTGCCCAAGTCCCTCCCAGCAGCCTCCTTCATTTCTCTGGGCTTAGTCTCCCACCGGGCCAGGCAGCGATGGTGACTGCCCCTGTCTCCTAGGGATCTTGAGAAGATCCCACAAAATCCTGTGTGTAAAGCACTTTCCCCAGTGCCTGGGACCCCATGAGCGGCGGTAACTGGGAACAGCATTAGCAGGAGGAGGAGTCACAGAAAAGCATGGGCTCCTTCTAGCTTTATCTCAACTGCTCCTTGAGACTGCAACAAACCCACTGGGGAGGTAACCTTTGTGGTCCCCACACACGGCACACTTTCCACCTCTGGGACTCCGCCCACGGCAGCCTGGAATTCCAGCCCGACCCCCATCCTTTCCTCAAGCCACACAACGCCCCACTCAGACCTACCTGCTCCTCAGTGGCCCCTCTCTTACTAAACTCTCAATTACCTAAGGTCAGGGAAAACTCCATATATCCACCAGGACTGCCACGGTGCCCGACAAGCAAGTGAACAATAAAGAATTGTTCTAGAAAGCTGGTGACATAACCCCCAATAGATCAGATTAAAACAGACAATGAGCACACACAGTATGAACATCTCCTATGCACAGGGTTGAAATTCTTCCTAGGACCAAAGCTAGCATGTTAACACGTGTACACACACATATGTACAGGTCTGTATGTATTTACATGTATACACACGCAAACACACAAACATGTTCCTCCCCAAATCTCACGCAATGCGAGTGGACAGTAACTAAAATGCCAGACCAATGGGTTTTAAATCTGTTGTCCTGGGGGCCGGCCCTTCCTCCCCCACAATTCTGGTGGTTCAGTACAGGACCCGCTCTCCCACTAACATTTACAACTCCGTCTTCATTCAGGTCGCCCTTTCTGAGGGACAGCGTTATTTATTTACTTTACAAAGCCAGCCTTTTACCCTGTTTCGTTCCCCTTGGCTTCTAAATCCACTAAAGGGCCTTTCTAGGGTGCCCAGTATGTGCAAATAACTCCAGTCCAGAGAGATTTCAATTTCTTTCCATTTCTGCTCTCCTCCTCCAACTCTCAAATAAGGGAAAATCATTTAAACAGCAAAGGGAACAGCCCATGCGTGTGTCTTTCCTCTAATGGGCTCAGAGAAAGGGCATTTCCATCTCAAAAGCTTCGAGGCTCTTTTGTCCACCTTAGGAATTCATTTCCAACGAGGTCCTCAGAGAACCAGGAAACTTAACAAGCCCCCCAGAAGTTTAGCCGCAGACAGTCAGAGCAGAGCCAACACACGGAAAATCACCATCAGTCGCTTAATCCACACGACGGCCCCACAGGCTGTGCATACCCTCTTCGTACGAAATTTAGGATGGAAAAAGTGTCCTGCAGAGGCAGAATAGACCGACACGAGCCATCTGAACTTGCAGCAGGACCATAATAAACCTGGATTCTCAGGACTCTGTGTCCAGAATCTCACTGAGCGCTGGCAGAGAACACCAGAACCTGTGGACAAGCCACAAAGGGCAACCTCGAAATACTCACAGCCACCATAGGAAAGAAAGCTATCTGCACGCATTTCAGAAAGACCAAGAAGGCAGGTGTGGGACATCTCAGGCATGGGGAAAACAGGAAGAATAAACTTTTAAAAGTCTGGGACAATGAGCAGAAAAACCTGATTTCAAGTTGATGCTGGGTGACCAGGAATTTCAGGATTGAAAACGTCAGGTGGCCCACTAGTCCTCATCTCTGTTTTAAGACCACAAACAAGATCACAGCAGTCCTTGGTTAAAAATATTCTCATTGCTCTCAGAACAAAGTTCAAAAGCCTTAACACAGCCTGCCCTATGTACAAACTGAAGCACATACATAAGTAGAAACTCATACATTCACTCCAGAAACGTTCACTGAGGGGCCGACCCCATGGCTGAGTGGTTAAGTTCGCATGCTACACTTCAGCGGCCCAGGGTTTCGCCGGTTCGGATCCTGGGCACGGACACGGCACCGCCCATCAGGTCATGGTGAGGCGGCGTCCCACGTGCCACAACTGGAAGGACCCGCAACTAAAAATACACAACTATGTGCCTGGGGGCTTTGGGGAGAAAAAGGAAAAATTTTAAAAATCTTTAAAAAAAAAAAAAATTTTCACTGAGTACCTGGCTCAGTACAGGCACTGGGGATGCTCACATAAGACACCCCAGGCCTGAACCCAGCCTCAGAGCATGGATGAGTAACGGCTAAGTGTGTCACAAAGTGCCAGGCCCCTGGCTAGACAGCTACACGCGTGATCTCATCCATGCTCCCTAAGGATGCTACAAGGCTGGCATTATCTGTATCCCTCTTTTACAGGTAAAGCGCCCCCCGAGGCACAGAGAGGCTCTGTAACTGGCTTAAGGTCACACAGCCAGGATCTGAACCCAGGTCATTTGATTCGAGAGCCGGCCTTCTGAGCCACCACTCCCCAGACCTTGATGTGGGTGTGGGGAGAAAGTGGCTCCCCACTGCTTGGCTGGTTTTCTCACAGTGGCACACCCTGAGTTCAGCAGTCTCAGCAGCCCTCAGAGTAAAACACCCCCCGGAACAGAGAAGCCTTATGGACGCTGGGCCACAGGAGCCGCCAGAATCCATGTAAACAGCAACCGGTCTACACCCCGGGAGAGTCAGACCCTGTCACTCGGCCCTGAGAACAGGAGTTCCGGGCCTGGACATTCTTGCCACACAAACCCTGGAACCACCGCCTCTTACCTGCACCTGGGCCGAATAGCCTCAGAGTCCTCCAGCCATATCCACTGGGGGCGGTCAGGGGCCACAGCCTCCCACACTCCCTCACTGGTAACTGGTGACACCACAACTACCACAGGTGCCGCTTTATGCCTTGGAGGAAACTAAGAACCCTTAAGTCCAAAGGCGGGAAGAAAGGTGGGGAAACAAGAGCTCCCTCGAGCCCCTCAGGGGAGCATCAATGGGGGGGTCCCCTGCAGAGGGAGCTCGCAGGGCCAGCCAGGTCGAAAACGCGCAGACCCTCTGGTCCAGCAGTTCTACTCAGGGAACATCATGGAGAAAGTGCCGCTCTCGTCCACAAGGGCCTTGGCTGCAGCGTGGCTGGCAGCGTGCCAACCTGAATGTCTGGTTCAGAGGCGAGTGAGGAAACTGGAGGACAGGCACACAACGCAACACCTGGCAGCAGGGAAACATACGCCTACATGCGGCAACACGGACAGACCTCAACACAGGAGAATAAGTGAAAAAAATGAGACGCCACAGTATACGCAGCATGATACCACTTATGCACGCTTTAAAACACTGGCAGGGGGCCAGCCCGTGGCCGAGTGGTTACGTTCACATGCTCCACTTTGGCAGCCAGGGGTTTGCCAGTTCGGATCCTGGTTGTGGACCTACACACTGCTCATGAAGCCACACTGAGGCGGTGTCCCACACAGAAGAACTAGAATGACCTACAACTAGAATACACAACCATGCGCTGGGGCTTTGGGGAGAAAAAAAAAAAAGAGAGAGGAAGATTGGCAACAGATGTTAGCTCAGAGCCAATCTTCCTCACCAAAACGCATACTTCAAAAAAAAAAAACACTATGCTTTGGATACAGAAGCACAGAAAAGTGGTAAAAGATTAAAACATGAACAGAAAGGATATATGTGAACTTGACCTCTGGGTGGAAGAGAACAGAATGAGATGAGCT